CATAAATTAAACAAGTTTTTGATTTGCCCTCCACCCGACCAGGCTGAAAAGTGCGATCGCTTTTTTTGAGGGGGTCTTTTTACAAATTCAGCAAATGGTGTCTACGTGCTCAGAGTGTGCTTGTTGGAGATAGCCTTTTATGTTTGGGCCTACAGATTTATTATAATGTACATTGTATGCAGTGATAGCAAATAATACATATATAAATACTTTATAACAACTTGATGTTTATCTAGAGCTAAATTGTGCATGATTTTATTTCCAGATCACAAACACATCACGTTAATCTGAAAATAAGCATTGAAGAATAAAAGGACTTGAATTTAAAAATAATAAAGAGTTTCTTAGGGCACATATTAGTCTTGGAAAGGATAAATAAAGTTAAGTCTGTCCGAGTTTAGACTCCATAATTGGTTATTTAATATCTAAATTATAATATAGCGATTTCCAATTCTGCGCAGGAAAGTTTTGCTTGTCGCGCTCTCATCCAGCGGTGCCGCCACCGCCTACATAATGTAATATGAACATGCCACCGGCACGCAGCGGCGCCTGAAATAACAAGTACAATCATAATGCAGCTCGCCTCGCCTCGCCGCGCCTACTTCAATGCAGTGCCGCCGCGAATTTACAATTCCCAAAGCAGGATTGCCATAGGCAAATATTCTAGGGCCTTCTGATTGGTTCCAAAACAGCGCTGTGTTTGCCTTATTTAGGCAAATGTCATGTTACTATTTGCATTGAATATTGGCCTCCGTGCCTTGTGGATATGATACCGGGCGTTACGTCTGAAGGTCGGTGGTTCGAATTCCTGTTTTGTTTTTAATTATTTTTTTGGTTTCTGTATTTTTCTATCTTTATTCATTTTAACTATTGTTTTTCCAATTAACGGAAATTATTTGCATGATTGATTTACAGCAATTAATATATTTTAATTAAAATTTTTTTTTTATTAATTTCATCATATTTAGTGTTAATTAAATTTAATTAGGGTAGGGTTAGGGTTACGGTTATAGGGTTGGGTTAGGAGTTAGGGTTAGGGTTAGGTTTCGGGTTAGGGTTAGGGTTAGGGTAAGGTTAATAGGTGAATTTACTACTGCCAATTTTACTTGTATTAGGTAAAGCCTGTTTGGGAAAAAAAATTCACCGTGCCGCGCCCAGCCAGCAGGCACGTACGCAGCAGGCTGTGCATAGCTTCTAGTACTATAGCCCGCGTACAGTTGCCGCAGGCCTGCCACATACAGAAACTAAAAAAAATGTTTGTGTCGGCCCCTTTTTGGCGGGCCGGTGGGTGAGGGGCAAACAAAACAACATTTTTATTATGGCTCAGTTTGGTAAATTTTTTATTTCCTGTGGCCGGCGATTATGTAGTCGCCCCGCCGGACCAGCTGATACGAGCAAGCAGTCGCCCGGTCGATTTTCTAAATCGCCACTGGCAACTGGCTTGACGCTAGTTTCTCACGCTGCTTACTGACGGCCCCCAGCGTACCGGTCATAGACATAGAACACTAATCCATATCAAAGTTTGGTCTAAAACACTGTATCCAATGCGTGAAAACTGTGGCAAAACGCGGGTGGTCCGTATATTCAAATAACTTTTTTGAAGAAGGCACGATATCCGCATTTTAGGTAAATTGGTGTGTCATAATGATTAAGGGAGAATCATAGACGAAAACAAGGTAAAGTTTGAATATATTTATTCACATATTAACCGCTGTTAAAACCGTGGCCAATAGCTCAGTTCACAGACGGACTCGTATTTCTGAAATACCCCGGATTTGCGAAATACCGTATCTAGAGCAAATACGCGGCCGACGTTTCAACACGCTGATTCGGCGCTCTCAGAAATACGGTAAATTAGTTCCTGTAGATCCGCTTGTGCGTGTCGAATTCAACATGGCCGCTGCCAAAATCGGCAAAGAAAATATCGCTGTTTTGATTCAGCTTTTTACGGGCAGCGGCAACAACGATCAAGGACAATGCACAATCATTTTTCTGTCGGCGAGACAGAGTTTATGAAGGCTTCACGTAGACGTAGGCAACGCGTTCATAAGATTCACATGAAGCAAAGAAGGGTTTTCTTTGGCTATGGCAATGCGATTGGCAATGCAGGGCAGTGTTTAGCAGAAACGAACGCTGTGAGCGCGCTACCTACACCGGGACCAGTGTGGGTTCGTTTTAGAAATGTACGGCGCTGGTTTGAAACGTAGTTATGGGGTCGTGGAAGTGGATGGCCCATGGTTGGCAGAATTTCCGATGACTCGAGGAACGTTCTAACTGGTAAGAATTTTTTTGCAAATGAAATTTTAAATTACTACTGTACCGATGCACTCACTGTACCCACTATGGTACTCACTACTGTGGTAACGAAAAAACTTAAAGAAAATTCCAGTACTGAGTTAGCTGAACTTTAGGCAAAATAGATAAATATTTAAAGTAAACGAGACAATTTTTGTTGTTATACTGTTAGGTCTATAACCAAGGAGTAACAATTTCAGTGTTTTCCCTGCATTGACACGAGCGAGGCAGGCCCCCTCGCGTCAAATTCTCAGGCTGCCACACAGACAATTTGTCAAAAACACATGGCCTTTTGCTGACTGAAATTGCACTGTTCTTGCCATCAATAACTACACTTTATTGAGCGCTAAAATCGAAATAAAGCGAGCAGGGCCGCGTACTTAGCGATACTGTCAACACTGCGAATCTTGGCAACGCGCTATAGATATAACGCAGGTTAGGAAGAGTGTTTGGTCGCGTACGATTTCGTATCTGATTAAAATGCATTTGATTTGCTCTTGTTAAGGTTATTTGCGAAGGTGTACGTTCGATATATAGAGAAAGAAGATACATATGAGAGGAAGTCCAGTTAAAGTTGAGAAAAAGCTTGCTGTCTACCATTTGGCGGTTGCAAACAAACGTAGAATTTCGCAACCTTAGCCACCTGTTCTTGCGATAAGGGGGGCGTTCAAGCTGCTGCTAATTACGAATGAACGTGGCATGCGCTCTGCAGAAACTCGGCTCAGGCAGTAGTCAAGTTTCCTACAGGCGATGCTACTCCGTGGATAGTTGAATGGGCTTGAGATGTAGTGGGGTTTTCCGCAGTGTTGGTGGAGGCTAATAAGATGGTGAGCGCAGATCCCTATCATAGCCCCGCAACGAGGGGGCATCCAGATTATTATACACCGTAAGGGGTTATTATTCTGTAATCTAAACAGGGCTGTAGTCGACATCCGTTACCGTTCATACACTAATATCTAGATGCCTGGGAGCGTGCCAGATGCCAAGGGAGTTCGCGCAAGTCCAGTCTCTATATAAAGGGGTCGAGGGAAAGTTGGCTGCCTTAGAACTGGGAAACACATTGAAACAAGGAAGAAAGTGTTTAAGCTTCTGTTTTCTTTGGTGATGCTGCGTAACCGATGCTGCCTTGGTTATTGAAACCATACATTGACAACGCAAGTTAACACACTCACTAGAAAAAGGTATTAACTACCGACATTAAGGCAGGGCAGCCGTGTGGTCGTCGAAAATGGTTTCGTCGCGATTCAAGGGCGATGGCGAATCACTTCTTAACGCCTGATATTGACGGTTAGTCGGGTACGCAACGCAATTGTTTCCGCTTGGCGTGTTCTACACAATATTTGCGAGAACGCTTTCAGGCGAGGCCATTCAGGGTCAGGCGATTGACAGCGCGGGCAGACATTGGGATTGAATGTAAACAATGTAAATCGCCAATGCCGTGAAAAAAATGTAGACTGCGCGATTGTTCGCAAATTGTATAGCTGAACTATGTTGTGGAATGTAGAACGTTGAAAACTCTGCGCAGCTGTATAGCTGATATATGTGTGGAGAAAGCATTGTTTGAAAACATTGTACTGTGATAGCTGAATATGTTGTGGAAGAAGCGTTGTTGATGATTTCATTCCGTCAAAATCATACCATTGCTAGATATTGGTTATTTCATTATAGGACAGTCAGAGTTGTGGTTTAATTTTATGGAAACGGTACTTAAAAAAACTGTTTTAACGTTCACGAATTTTTATTGTGTAGATGGCAAAATAATACTTTTGTAGATAACTAAGACTGGTTATATGGGGCATCAGAGTTTGTTGTGTATTGAAAACCGAATAAGGGCATAAAATATATGGTATATTTCGCTTGTGAGACAATAACATTTACCATTGCCACACAGCTAGTAGCTAACAATTGTATGCTATAAAACGTAATCAAACATGTACAAGGAAGAATCGTCGCAATTGGCCCTAACGTATAAAGCAGTAGTATAAGGAATTTAAAGCAGAATCCAATTTTCGACAGAAGACTATAAAAACTGTTACGTGCACGCCACCGCAGCTTGGGGAAATCTAATTATACTTGAATTTAATTTTATTAGATAACTTCAAATGCAGGCCACCCTGGGCCTCCACTCTATGCATCAAGTTAATCTGAGACGCAATAACATTTTAAAGCATGTAACAAGCAACAAACAACAATTAAGCATTAATTTAAACATTATATAACATCTTTAAACATTGCACATAGGGCTAACAAAAGATCATGAAGCAAATAAAAATTTAATTAAATAATTAATTAATTAATAAAATTTAACGATATACAAACATTGCTCGCAATTATGGATTTGCGTAGCTCATGCAGGATTCCAACTGATCTAATTTGCCACGTACCGCATATCACGCACTTGCGTAAGTTGCTGGGGCATAAAGCTGCTGCTGAATATGGACATCAAAGCATCCCCTGACTCCGGTTGCCTGTTTTGAGATGCAAATCTGCATGCCGGCGGCATGTTGGGTATGATCTGCTGTGAATTTTTGGAGTTTGACTGCCCCGCATTTCCTGAATAAGTCATTTCCATCATCCGAGTCTGTCGTGCGTGGCCATGTCGTCTTTCTCATTCAAGACGCTGGCATGCAGTCTCAGTGGCTGGCGCCTTTGTTTTCTGCTTCCCAGCCCGCTGGCTATGACATTGGCAGTGTGGAATCACGGGTCTAGGGCTTTCCTCCCATGTGAGTTAGCTTGTGTGTCTTGAGATTTGCTGGTTGACTGCAGCTGTAGTCACACGTATCACATGCATAGCGTTTCTCTCCTGTATGAATGCCCTTGTGTTGCTTAAGAGATTTGGATGACGTACATTTGTACTCGAATTTGTCACATGCATTGGGTTTTTCACCTGAGTGAGTTCGAAAGTGCACATTCAGACGACTCAAGTGAGAACATGAATATGAACAAATGTCACACACGTAGGGGTTCTCTCCTGTATGGGTGCGTTTGTGTCGCTTGAGTTTAGCCACTTCAGAGCATCTGTAGTCACACGCATCACATGCATAGGGTTTCTCTCCCGTGTGAGTTCGCATGTGTGTCTTAAGATTGGATAGTTGCGCGCACCTGTAGTCACATGTGTCACATGCATAAGGCTTTTCGCCTGTATGGGTGCGTTTGTGTAGCTTGAGTTTAGCCACTTCAGAGCATCTGTAGTCACACGTATCACATGCATAGGGTTTCTCTCCCGTGTGAGTTCGCATGTGTGTCTTAAGATTGGATAGTTGAGCGCACCTGTAGTCACATGTGTCACATGCATAAGGCTTTTCGCCTGTGTGAATGCGCTTGTGTTCCTTGAGTTGAGTCATACTAGAGCAGCTGTAGTCACACGTATCACACGCATAGGGTTTCTCTCCTGTGTGAGTTCGCATGTGTGTCTTAAGATTGGATAGTTGAGCGCACCTGTAGTCACATGTGTCACATGCATAAGGCTTTTCCCCTGTGTGAATGCGCTTGTGTTCCTTGAGGTGAGCCATACTAGAGCATCTATAATCACACGTATCACATGCAAAGGGTTTCTCTCCTGTGTGAGTTCCCTTGTGTGTCTGAAGATTGGATAGTTGAACGCACCTGTAGTCACATGTGTCACATGCATAAGGCTTTTCGCCTGTGTGAATGCGCTTGTGTCTCTTGAGATTATTGGATGACGTACATTTGTACTCGCATTTGTCACATGCATAGGGCTTTTCTCCTGAGTGAGTTCGAAAGTGCACCTTCATATGACTCAAGTGAGAATATGAATATGAACAAATGTCACACACGTAGGGTTTCTCTCCTGTATGGGTGCGTTTGTGTAGCTTGAGTTTAGCCACTTCAGAGCATCTGTAGTCACACGTATCACATGCATAGGGCTTCTCTCCTGTGTGAGTTCGTATGTGTGTCTTAAGACTGGATAGGTGACGGCACCTGTAGTCACATGTATCACACGCTATTATTGGAACTAAAATTTCAGACTAAGAGATCAACAGCAGCAGCAGCCCTATTAAACCTGGCTGGAACACCATGGGAGCCCAGCTCATCAAACGCAACTTTCGAGCCCAGCACTTCATACACACCACCACCCAGCACATCAGATACGCCACAAGAGACCAGCTCATCCGACAGCACATCTGACAGCCGGACAAATGTCTCCCTCGATTTGTCGATTAGCACAGCAAAGCTCAAATTGGCATGCTGTGAACTGTACAGTTCTGTTAGAGAAGCTGGCAAGGTTGCGTTGGCTGACTTCTCAGTGTTCTGTGTATCCAGGTATTGGCGACAGTATGACACTGTTAACACCTGTCATGGAATATAAATTGTGACAGTTTATTATCATTATTATATGTAGCATGCTTCATAATACCAAGAACCAGCCAAACGTAAATTTGACAAGAGCCGCAGAGCGACTGGGTTCAGCTGAGGTCTGTTGCTACCTGTCGTACTAGAATCATACTAACTCAATCCCGCCCCCGGCCTTCTCAAAAATTAAGACCGTACGTCGAGCATTTTCTCCTTACCTTCTTAAAATTTAAATTCTTAAATAATTAAAATGAAAATGATTACTCACTCACTATGTGGCATGCCTATATGATATGCTACTACAGTAAATTATTAAAGTAACTATAATACTAAAGTAGTATAATTTTAGTAGTATTTTGTTATTAGATCAATATGGTCTCATAGCCAGAGTCTACGTTTATGTGCAAGTTAGCCTACTGACATACTGGTGAGTGATGTTTGACAATTAAGTACAACATAGTTATAGTATCACGCTGCTCTCACCCCAAGGAAAAGTGCTCTGTTCTGTACTGTTACACCGACTTACACGGCTTGCTGCCCAATGAACTCAACAGTCTGGGAGGAACTAAGTAAAGTAAGTTATCAGTGACAGTGATTTCAATGGTCCTACATATGTACATGCAAAGCAACTCACCTTTGACAGAATGACAAACTTGCTTCCCTTTAAAGAAACAAGGAGCTCTCTGACCCAATCGGAGATGAACTAATTGTAAGCATCCAAGCTTTTGCCTAGTGATAAATGTCTGGGTATATACATCTGGAAGCTCTTTGCTCTCACAATCCAGGACAGATTTAAACTCTGATCGACCTACATATGGCATAAGGATCAGCACCCACGCAATCAATCTTCTCTACATACCGCTATCCTATGGTGATCAAGCTGTAGACTGGCTCTGGACGTGGACCTGTCTCTGGACGGAGTGACGGTGCCGACCGGGTACCAGTCTAGCCAACTGAGCAGAATGAGATGATCACCAAAATGACGGAGAAACCATAGAACATCATATAATATGACGTAATTATATTATTATTATTAACTGCACAAGGTCTATACCTGCTTACGTGCGCGCGTGCATGCGTTCGTGTGTGTGAGTACGAGCGTGCGAGCGTGTTGTATGTTTGCTCAAGACATATCAGAAAATAGAACAACTCAATTAATAATTATTACCAACTATATGTATTTATACCACACACCCTTTTTCGACTAAGCTTACACAGTACGAACTTACAAGCCACACTCTAGTCGGCATTCCTTTGTCAACTATGCAATATATAAGGGCGCTGGCCTTCCCTAAAGCACAGCAAGTTAAAAACAAAACTGGCAGCTATATCT